ACCTGAAAATGTTCTTTTCCATACCCTCCCAGTAAAGGCAAGACTTTAGACTTGCTCCAAGTTATCATATTTTTGATTGCTTCCAAAGTATTTGAGAGCTAGCCTGTGGATAAGGAAAATGAAAGACTAATGATGGCTTTTTTAGTATTTATAATATTGGTGAAGAGTATTGAATATGGACTGCCGAAAGAACAAACAAAGCTGTCTCGGAAAAGATGTGACCACTGTGCTCTTTCAAAACAAGAGTGATGAGATTTCATTTGATATTTTGTGCAACACCTGGACAAACAGATCATACTTGAAAATGTAGAAAGTTAGTGAAAGAAGTACCCTCAACAAGGTGGATTGACAGTGGCTGCAACAATGAGCTTAAGCACAGCAGAGATTGTGAGAATGGCACAAGTTGGCTCAGTGTTTAGTTCTGTTTTACTGTGCTATGTTGTTTATGTCATATTTGTAGTGTATTTTGTGGGGGAAATTGCAATACTTTATTTTTCTTTGATTGGCACTGTTTCATAAATTAACTTTTGAGACACAAAAGTTACTTTAATAGAAATTTTGCTTATATTTCTTACATTGTCAGTATGAGCTGAGCTGGAACCCACTGTCCCACCCAAAAGAGGATCACTTCTGGGAGTAAGGGATAAGGAATGGGCTGAGCTTGGGCCCTAAGAACCCATTCTTCCTTAGTGTTGCAGGGGCTGAAATCCTCCCTTTCCTTCTGTGCATTCCTGCCCCCACCTACCCTGGACTTTGGGAAAGAGCAGGTGAAAGCCCAGGCCTGAGATTCTCCACGCCTCTTGCCCCTATGCCAAAAAGTGAATAAAGTATTTGAAGAGAAGACAGAGGAAGAAAAAGGTGTAGATTATAGTAGATGAATGCAAGAGGTGGGGCTGAGGGAGAATTAAAGACAAAAACACCAGTTTTGGATTTTTTTTTTTAAAAGAGGTGGAGAATATAATAAAAATTCATCCTGAATCTGAATTTACTTGGGGGGAAAAAAAGTTCTCCAGTCTCATAGAGACATTATTTGGCACCATCAGCTCTGCAGTAGTCAGGCCTCAGACTAGATCTGGAGGCAGGAGGCGTGGTGTGGCCTCTACAGCTTGTTTTGGCCTGGACCACATGTTCCTCCTCCACCTCATGTTCCTCCTTGTCCTCTTTATCCTCATCTTTGTCCTTTTCTTCCTTGCCCTCTGTTTCCTTTTCCTCCTTGCACTTTCTGTCCTCTTCCTCCTCTTTCAGCCTCTTCTCTTCATCCTGCTTGTCCCTCAATTATTTTTTTCAGCATCTTTGGTGACCCCCCACATCTCATTGCCAAATTCCTCAGCTCAGGCCTCATGTTAATGATAAGATGATGGCAGACTGACCTGCCAAAGATCTAGGCCCAGCGTCGGGAAAGTGGTCTGGGCTTTTGATTTCTGGGTGAATCCACTTGTCCTGTGTTATAATCTGGGTTGTCAGTCTGCTGGGGCTTCACTCACCCTTGTACTCAGTGTTTTGAATCACAGATAATCCCCATTTTCAGTCCATCTCCTCATCCCAGTCCTCAGGCTCCTTGGCATCAGGATCAAGAATGTATGTGGGCTTGTCCCAGTCCTCTGACTTGGAGTTTGTGTGTGGGGTCACCGTTGTGGGCCCTTTCATTCTAGTTTTCAGGCTTAACAGCATCAGAATCTTTTATCTTCTTAGGTCACAAAAGTCCCAGTCTTCTTCTAAGGCGCCTGCAGTCTTCACCTGACAGGTGTTGCCATACCTTACTATCAGAGTGTATTGTATGTGAATTCATCATTCTTGCAGCAGATGTTCTTGTTGATAAGCACATTTTTGCCCTTGTAGTTGATAATGAAATTAACCTTTTTGGTTCCAGGACCACAGATGTCAGGCCAAACATGATATTATATTTGGAGTGTTTGTCCATGTACTTCTGGTCCAAGATAACAGGAAACAGCTTCTTGTAGTCACCCCAACAGTCAATGTTCTGCTTATGCTTCACTGCAAACTGTACTACCAGGGTCTTGTCCTTGTTGCTAAAGGGTTCAAATCTTGGCCGACAGGTCTAGAAATAGGCATCCTGGCTTGTCTGCAGCCCATTATTTTCTCCTGGTCACCATAGCACTTGCCCGAATTGAGAAAGAATTTTCCAGAATCTGACTTATGTTTGGGTTTAATCCAGAGCTCATTCTACCCAACTCTGTCCAGAAATTTTCATTGAAGTACACAGTAGACTCAGCAATGGCCAGGCTTAACAGGCTGAGCCACAGTGGCAGGCCCACAGGGCAGCAGCTCACAAGCCCTTTAAGATGCTTTTCAGGCAGCATTTTTGTTGTAGGGGCCTTAAATTAATTTTTAACTTCCTAAAAATAAATATTTAAACCATTTCACACTTTCAACTTTAATTGAATTGTATTATAAAATTTTAATTCTGACACTTAGTAACTCACTACCATTTCAGAACTCTTATTGGAAGGAAATTGTCAATATTTCACCAATGACTGAAGGACACCTGCATATAGAGAAACTTCTGTACTTATTATCTTTCCATCCACTGCCCTGGGTAGTATGGTTAATATTTTGTATTCAATAAATAAAATAATGAACTCAGAGTTAGGAATTGTAGTCCTGGAGTTTTTCATTAGTATTTTTCTCTAATGTCTTCATTGATATTCTAACAATATCAGATCCTAATTGAATAACTTTGATTATTGTGACTGAGAATATGATACTTTAAGTCCATGGGAAAAAGTTTGAAAAATAAACCTGAACAGTAGTTTTACTAACAAGAGTAAAATGAGGGAAATATCCAAGTGCTTAATGCAAAAATCTTTTAGTTATGTAACTTTAAAAAAAAATAAAAATAGAAAACAATATAATTTGCTAATGTATGCAATGAGTAAATATATCAAAGTAGTCAAAATACTACCCTATTTGTCATTATCTCCCTGTCCCTTTATCTATATGGAGATGATAGATAGATAGATAGATAGATAGATAGATAGATAGATAGATAGATATAAAAATACATATGAAGTAAGTAACTAGAAGATTTCTTTCAAATATTAAATTACAAAGGCAGATTAGTAATCTTGTAGTTTAAGAGCTGGATAAAAATATGATGGAAGTGACAAATACAAGTCCTATATGTAATATTTAATATTCTAATGGCCACATTTTAAAAAATGAAATGCAGCAGCTAAAACTAATTTTAGTAATATATCTTAAATTAATA